TAATTACATGTACCGGTATACATTTGTAGACAGTGTGTTTTTCTCAAACTTATAATATTAAAGAGGCATTATGGGAGATAAGATAAAAAGTTGACTGTTCTCGCTTTAATAGTTAAAAATTAGATAACGTAAATAGAATATGTTAAAAATTTAGTCAAATTGCTCCACTCTCAACCAAGATATTAGCTTTTGAATTTTAAGCCTAGCCTCGATCATCATTAGGGCCTACTAAAGTTGGTACGATAAAAAGCTTAGTCTCGATTAACCATTTTTGGAATTAATCATCAATGAGCGTTGTGCAGCAGATCGGATTCAAATCCAGTGAAAATCTGACACATAAGATGACATCGAGAGTTGATTATGGTTGTGTATAAGTTAATTAATGTCTAATTAAAATAGTTTCATGCCTAAAGAAAGAACTGCAATAGGCAGATTTAACTCCTGCCTAATGTATGTTTAGTCTTAGTGGCAGGCTTTAAACACATTTTATTTCATTTTTAATGTAAATTTATATACCCTCTGAAATGTGGGTAATAATTGAGATTTTATGATTTCTAATATTACAATACACATGGGAGACTTTAATAGAAATGACAGAATGCTAGACCTAGATGAAGTAGTTTGTCAGTTGTGATATTAAATGATTACAATTTATATTTGGCACCGATTTAAGGTATCTTTCGAATTGTCAGTGGGAAATCCTCATTATTTTTGAAGCAACTTCTCTTTTCATTATAACACACTATGAAGATAAGTTTTTTTTCTTTAAAGTATACTTTAAATTTAGGACCACTGGATACCACTTGGTGCTGGCCTTAAAGGAGGGGGATTCCAGATTTCATTCGGTAGCAAGTTAATGTGGCCAACCATTTTGTGTCTGTTTTGGCATTCCAAGTTACTCACATGTTATTTTATAGGTGTTTTCCATTGATAACCTGGACATAAGTGTTGTATTCTTGTATGTGATGTTGAGCATTTAAAACTGAAGTAGCTCTTAAGCAAAAGCTGTGTCGTATTGGGATTAGTAAAAGTCAAATACAAGAAGGATCTTGAGCCGAAGTTTAGGTTAAAACCACATCGATTCCTTCGCGCAGGTTTGAGGGCGCGCTCCTTCTTGCAAGATATTGTTGACCAAATTTTCAACACCGTCATTAGTCTTTTGCAGAACCAACAGACTAATCCATTTCCCCTACCTACACAAATTCTAATCCTGTCAGTGTAAACGCCAGAGTTGATACAAACCTTTTGGTGTATGTTATTTTCCTTGCATAAAGTCATTGTGAAGGTAAGCTAAGTACAAAATAATCAGCTGACAATTATAGTGTTTCAAACCTGTACATGTACGTCATTTGTACTTTATGTAGGTCATTAAATTTCTCTATTTTTAAATTGTTTTTTATTTTATTAATTATTGTATAAGAAGAATGATTAAAAAATAATTTAACAATAGATTTCCTGTTAACAAAAAGAAAGATAAGTATTTATGCAGACGTACATGTATTTAGTGTGTACCGATATTCATAAATGTTGTATAAAGCCCAATACATGCTCATTAGGATAATCATAAATCAAAGGCTTACATAATATACCGGTACTTGATTGCTTAGCCTTTAAGTAGTTTGAAGTCTCTGAACTTCATTTGAGAGATTGAGGAATCCATTACAAACATCAATATTGCATATTCCTGAAGCAATGGTCCGATAAATCCCTCTCTGCCCATTGTTGGATTGGCTTCTGATACTTGAGCTTTTGAGGGAGTGTGTGTATTCTTCCTGTTCAATCAAATCTATCTCAAGTACAGCAACATGACAGTCCTTCGTTTTTAATCTGGGGGTCTTCCCTAATACTTTGGACAATGATTTAAGGTATTAAAAACGGTGAAAGTATTCTTTCGTCTCCATACAGTATTGTTTACATTGTATTTGTGTTGATAGACTCGTTTTTCACGCAATTAGTTTTTCTGCAATATTCTGCTATGCACTGGTTAATTGGGCATAATAAAATCGTGAGTCATGACGTAATGTTATGTAAACATATTTGGTCCAATTTGGAGCTTTGTTTAAAATGTAACGATATTGTTACGCAGTTAGTTATTGGTTGTTAATCGGACTATTGACCAGTCATAATTTGGAACAGAAATTTGCTTCTGTTAAAGCCGTGTTTAGTGGGATTAGCTCTAATCAAATGAAACACTGCGAGGAGTACGTGGAAGTTGAATCCCTAAAATTAATATCAATCCTGTCAACATTCGACAGATGATATAAACAGGATATGGTCAAAAACTAACTCCACCTGTAATTATCCCAAAAATATTTGATGAATCTTTTTTTTTTTAATCCGATGGAATCCAAGCCAGTAGATTATCTACCCTTGATATTTTGATTTTGTTTTCTTAAAATTTTAAATGCCATTAATCAATTTGTTGAGTACATTTTAGCATGGATTAAGCCATGGAATATTCAAATTATGCAAATATTTTAACATCATTGTTAATTATTAAAGTTTTATTAATGAAAAAAATATTCTTATGAAATTAGTAAAAAATATGTTTAAAAGCTGTCAGACTCTCAACCATAGCTTAGACTTTTGGGTTACAAAAATGGAATAAGAGAGCTTAACCGTAATTTTATGGAGATTAAATGAAGAAATATTGTTGTTTGTGAAGTAAGAAGAATGTTAGTTAGTAAGATTAAAAATGGTTTATTTTAAGCATTAATTAAATTTTTTCAAATGTTAAAGAAAAGTTTAACAGCCGTTTACTTTACATTTATTTCTGGAGCGAAATTTGTAGATTCTGTCAGCGAGATTTGTCATTCTAATAATAGACATTTTTAAAACATTTTACATCAGTCTTGTCTGGAAGTATGGTATAAGTGTCAACATTTATCATCGCAATAAAATCGCTTATAATAGTTACAATTTTGAAAATAATTACAAGGCTATCTAATTACTTTGAAGACAGCTACTAAAGGGTACAAAATAACTGTCTATTTACAATGGTTTAATCAGACTGCTCAGACATGCATTGTAAAGTTGTCAAACAATGGTAGTCGGTGATCTGGATTTCTCTCCTACACAGAAAAGTAAGACTTAAGCCCCCCCCCCCCTCTCTCTCTCTCTGGTTTATCAAACATACTAAAGTGCAGCCAAATTCGTCAGCTATATGGATGCCTCAGATGAGAATTGGAAAGGAATACCTCATTGCCTACACCTAAGTTAAATAGACCTACCGTATCTGTATGATTGATAATATTAAAAAGTGTTATAATGTTAAGTCAACTGATGGTGGTTGTTGAGAATCAGGTTATGGTGATCTTTCAAAGTATGATTCATACTGTTATGTATGACACATGGTCTTTGTTTAATGATTATTAGAAGAATTTAAACCTTTTCATTATGTACACATGACAGAATATCAAAAAGATTTTGTTGAGTGAATTTTTCAGTTGGTATGATATAATAATATAATACAAATTTTAACCAATATGAAAAGTAGTTCACCAAACAGTGCACAATATGAACATTTTCAACTGTTTAAAAACTTATTTCACTGGAAAAGAAAGGCCTTTTGACCATATAACAATCCCTCTAGAGTGTAAACATAACATTGTTCTAGTTTCTTGATTTTTTCAATCATTTTCAAACTTTACTTTAAAAAGACATTATCACTCTAACCAAGAAAATACATATACCGATACAGGTGGTACTTAATTATGAATAACATATCATATTAAGAAAAACCTTTGACCGTCCATACACTGTTTAACTCCATCTTGAAAATTACTAAAGGATTTTTTCTTATCGTACGTTACGGTTAATATCGGGGATCGCACAGCAGATTTTTCTAAAATTTTGCACACAATCCAATTGAAATTGACTTTTTTACCAATAATTTGTCATCTTGCAGTTGACTTTCTTGGTTTGACAAGCTCCATCATCACAGGATAGTGTGAGGATATTTGGTGGCACGTTTCCTACAAGTTTTAGGTCATGTGCAGATAACTAAAAGGATATAGTTTATTTACTGTTTCTATTAAAATATTGCGATGCCACATCCTGTTTTAAGCATTTTCATTGTCGGTTAGCAAAATTCTTATGGGACATGTGCAATTAGCTACTATTAACTTCTGTTCTTCAATGAAATTACAAATATCTGATGAGAGAAAAGATCATTTTCATAGGGTAAGGACATCAGTGAGTATTTTAGTGGTTGAAATCTATAAAATTTGTGGACTCGTAAATGATCATCTTAAAGCTGCTGATTGACCTTCACCTCTGTCTGAGGAAAGATTCGTAAATGATCATCTTAAAGCTGCTGATTGACCTTTACCAGTGTCTGAGGAAAGATGGTAAGTGATATGATGTGCTTTTGTTCTAAAGAACCACATTAAATCGACTTAACTCAAATCATCTTTGTAGTTCAGTGACTTGAGACTGCAATAATTTTTTAATGTCCCAATTTGAGGGGCAAGCATTGAACTGAATACAGCAGATTATATGCAAATAGAACTTGTATCGATTCATATAGTGCTGCTGTACGGGCAAAATTTCTCTCAAAGCACGCTACATGGCATATACCTGTTTTCATGGGTGTAGTCAGTACAGAACATTATGACGTTCAACCCCATTTCATTTGATTTCAATCAAAAGTACAATTTGTTTCATTTCAGCTGCTGGTACCAGTATGTCCATGAACTGGTCTGTTACAGTTCTTTTATAAATATTTAATCTAAAATGATATGCTCTGTATAGATTGTCCATATAGTATTGATATCCTTTTGATATTGATATTCTGGTAGTAAACTATATTATAATATTCACGGTTCTACAAATCATTATTGCTATTAAATTATTGATATTAAATTATGTATGTATAGACTGAGGCTTCACTATGGTGCTGATGTTAATTCCACTGATTGCAATCTTGACCGTCTGAGTGGATCAACTTAAAAACACCAGCTCTGGCTCTCTTTGGGTATGCTTTGTAAGTGATCCTCCTGGCAAAATGACAACATGGGCCCATGCATAATTAACTCAAACGTTTAACCAACAAGATCAAAATAATTGAATGGCTTTACCTATGATACATAAACATTTAAACACTATACTCCCCTGGCTTGGAAAACCAACTTATTGCCAGATCCTTGATGTACGCTGGTCTTCATTAGCTCGGTTGGTACTGAAAAGTAGAACAATAAATCTTCATTTCATTACATTTATAGATTATATGTTTGTTTATGAATTTACTAGTCAGTACAGGGTATGCAAGGAACATGCCAGGAGCTCTTGACAGCTGAGGCAAATAACCAAGTCTACAAAGATAATGTCTGTTTACTACATCGTTAACACTGTTCATCACATGCATTTTGCATACTGATAGTCCATTAGTCAATCACGCTATTTTACCGCGATTTCATCTAAAAGTTTGGATGCAGCTATGGCGGGTGTGGCGCCAGGCAGGGTAAGCTTACTCTTTCGGACACCTGTTACCACTGTTTGTCATGTATTTTGTACACAGTGAACAGTCCATATGCTGATTACACTATTTTGCCTATACTGTTTTTTTAGGACTTCGAATTTTGTCTAATGGTTTGGATTGTTCATACTTGGTTTATTTTATTTATATGTACCATCAAAATCTTTGTCTCATACATGTAGACTAGTAGCTATTTGCTGATAGTAAACATCACAGGCACTTGAAGGGATTAAAATAAAACTTCTTACTACTGCTTGACTATATATTACAGTATTATAACAAGGTGTATCCACGGCCATATTTTTGACAACATTTCATCTAATACTCAATTGTTCTAACACTTGCCGTCGTTTTTATTTCCAACAAGAGTTTATTTTTGATCATTTTACAGCATTATCATTTACAATTAAACTTGAAGCGCTATCACTTGGTAATAAGGAACTTTGTTGGACCGGAAGTAACACATAAAAAAAATCCTGTTGTATTTTAACAAACTTTATAGTCCCAAAATGACCTGGCTTGTGTTTGAAGGATGTTAAACAAATCTCTCTAGAAGTAAATACATGTACCTTGTTTTACAGTAGTAAATTTACAGAGTAAGAGTAGTACATGTAGTAGCCAATACATATTTACAGCTTATGAAAAATATAGTTTGTTATACACAGTGATAAGATTTAATCTGAGACCAGTTTACCCACATCTGTTACATAGTCAAGGGGGATCAATTATGAAAAATGTTACATTGAATCCATTTTCATAGTCCTGGTTTCCCTTACTCTATTATAAAGGGAAACAAATTGGTAGATACATGATGATGTATATGAGCTTTGCCAAATGAAAATGCCCTTGAAAGAGTAAGCACATCCAACTAATTCTATAGAGTTTCAATCCTACTGAAAGTTCTTCATTAGAAATGAACTTAAGTTATTAAGATTAAATACTGACCATTAAAAAAACAGAGAAAAATACTTTAAACAGGCATTATGCAAGAGCTAATTCTGCCTATTGCAGGTCTTTCTTTAGGCCTTAAATGTTATATAAACTATTAATTAGACATTTATTAACATACAATGTAACAAGACCATAATCAAGTCTTGATGCCATTGGATAGGTCTGATTTTAAGTATATTAGAACGGTTCAGCCATTTAATGATTGAATCTAAAAATGGTGAAGCGAGATAAAGCTTCCAACAACCAGTACGGTGGTTATAATCAGTGCCCACATCTTGTCAAACCTCCAAAGACTAATATCTTCGCTCAGAATAAAGTAATTTGAATTAAATTTTTAGTATATTCATTTTGCATTATCTTTTTTTTGGAACGGCCAGCACTTCATCTAAATCTTACATAATGCACATGTATATAAGCGTACCTTTTTAGGGTGGTTGGATGGCCGAATGGTTAGCACGTGCGTGCTGTATCATAAGGCCTGTCATTGAGTCAACTGGCATGGTTTCGAATCTCCGGTTGTACGTGGCAAGGAGTAGGGTTGTCTGTCCAACCTCTTGGGTTTTCTCCGGGTCCTCCGATGTCCTCCCACTGCTAAAGACCCCCTACGCGCAAGCGAATTATTGAAATAAAATTAAACCATGTTAGTCCCGAAATGACCTAGTTTGTGTGAGTTGAGTGGATGTTAAATCCCATCTCTCTCTCTCTCTCTCCCTCTCTCTCTCTCTCTCTCTTGTATCTTTTTAGGGAATAACTATTTTGACAACAGTGTCTTCTCTTTTCTCTTAATTCAGCAGTACACATACATGTACATACAAGTATTATATTCCACAACTTCATGTTTATTTCACAGCCAAATTTATGAATGAAAATGTTTTGAGTAGTGGTCTGCATTTTAAAAGTGGGACTTGTACTTCTAGAAAACAAATTAGAATTAGAGATCTATTATAGTAAATGATGTATGTAGGTTTAACATCAGTATTTTAATCATATATATACAGTGTATTGTGGATGTGATGAGTGTTGATGAAGGCAATTAGATTGAAAGGAAATAAAGATGAACTTTGCTCTCTGCCCAGCTTTAAACTGGTGTGAACAGGAAGTGAGTGTTAGGTTGTATACTTGAAATAAAAGGAGATTTGTTGAAATATTTTGTTTTAAAACTTGGTCGTTGACTAATACAGTACATATACTAATAAACATGTAATCTGAAAGGAAGGAGCCACCTATTACATAGCATTTTGTACTTTACTTCTGTTTATATATATAGCTTAGTATGTTTTTTTCAAATAAATTTATTGGCTTACTAATACATCAAATCAATTTACAAAAATACATGCATAGACAAATGTATAGTACAATGCAAACAAATGACAGACTTAAATAATATAATATACACCATACCGATGTTGATGAACACATTAATACATGTTTATAGTGGTATAGTTCAAGTTCAGCCTTGTTTCTTATATAAGCCATAAAATGTTCGTTAGACAGTGTTTTACCTATACATTCTAATTTGAAAATGTACCGTAATATTTTGTTAGAAGAATTACTTGATTTATGAATTTTAATTCAGATTTGTTTTCAAATTTGTTAATCTCATCATGTAAATTGTAATCTAAAATGTATGACAGGAGGTGATAGATTAGCCTACTGTATATTTTATTTTTTAATGAAGATGTCATTAAGAGCATTCCACAGGCTTTAAGAATACTGGCACTGAATAAATAGGTGCTTGTCAGATTCAGGCATACTCCTGCAGAAATCACATAGACCAGAAGCCACTTTGTCAAATTTAAATAAACGATTATTTGTCTAAATTATTTTATGTATATTTTTAAACTGGAAAATTCAGTCTTTTGTTTGTGTACAAATATTATGACTTAGTAAAAATAATAATATCAGATAAACCAGCTAGGGAAGATATACTTTTTAAAGTTTTTATACGCCCACATGTAAATGTGATCGCATATTGCCATCACCCACCATTTCTTGTGAGCACTCTACAGACTACATTTATAATCTGATTGTTTTGAAATTAATATATGTTGTTTACATTAATTTCTTCTGGAATTATGGTCCTTGTTTCACTTTGTTGCACCTTATTATCATCCGATCTGTATGAAATTTATGTATGCATCATTTGAATTAGTGAAACGAAGAATCCTATTGAATTACAGCAATTTTCGTCAATTACTGCAAGTTTAATGGTCTTGTTTAACTTTGTTGAAGTTAAAGCGGTGGACACACTAGCCGAATGATTCGGCCGAATCAATCGGCGTCGAAATTCATCTGATCTGTATGAAATTTATATGTATTATTTGAATTCATAAAACAAATACGCATGTCGAATTTCAACAATTTCTGTAAATCACTTCCAGAGTTAAGGCACTAGTTTCAGTTTGTAGAATCTTTTGAACCCTCAAACGATGAAACTTATAATCTGATCTGTATGAAATTGTCTTGTAAATGCTCCCCCCTCCCCCATTGCCCACAAAATAATAAATATATGACAATCCTTGTTGACTGCTCGGACGATTAAGATGCTGTGGGTTTGTATTTTGTTGTCTGGCAACCAGTCTTTACATTAACCACCACATAACCCTGAAATAATGCTGTCATGATATTACTTACACTTTGAACTACTATAGTAGTTGTATAGTTTTGTGTCATGTGTCACTATTTAAGCCTTGTAACTTGTAGTGTCCACACATGAAACAATGCTACATCAAGTTGCACTACTGCGCGTCGGTGATGGGCATGAGTGTATAGTAGTATACGCTGCCGATTCCACAAGATGCTATCATTGATGTCTGTCTATAGTCATTCTATAGGGCACCATCAGCTAAACAACAAGAATTCGTTTGAAAGTGGAAGCATTAATTAGACCAGACTGGTGTGTTTGAGTCGATGGTTTGAGTCATTTGGGATCCATGCAACGGGTTGGGAACGGACATATTTTGGGTCTGAGAAAAGGCACTTTCAGCAATAAAAAAGGGCAATGTCGAAAATTAGGGGGGGGGGGGCGGGCGTGCGCGCCCCTCGCACCCCCCATTGAATCCGCCTCTGATACTGTACACATGTGTGATATTGTACACTTTATGTCATATGTTTGGAAATGGAGTACTTTTAGATCAAAAGAAATATTGGGCTGCACTTGTAGGCTATAAATGACACTTTGTCCCAATAAATATGAGCCAAATTAAACAACAAATTTCTTGTCTAAGCCAATATAACATTTGAAGAAAATAGTTGGACACCATGAATATGCCATGGTCTGTTTCATTTTGTTAAATACAGATGCATATTTCTAAGAACACAATCTGGACATAAATTGTATTCAATTTTTGAATTGTGTCAATTGTTTTTTGACAGGCAATTTCGTAGACTTTAACTGGTTTCCGACATTCACAGAATTGATGTGGTTATTTTCCGTTAGTGGTGACGCTAGCTTTTGGCTCAATGGTCATAACCATCATAGTGAACAGATTTTTGTAACGTTTATAAAAACCATTCTAAATCTTGAGTAAATCGGTGTACATTGTAGCTTCCAAGATCAATGATTTTGAATGTTTAAAGATGAATGCCAAGGAACAGACGCAAGGGCTTACAGTTCGTACAACAATCGATGGGTTTGTTTGTAGAAATGTGGATTGTCATGTTGTTGTGAAGATACGATATAAAACGATGGAACAACCTTGCTTCGTTTTTGTCATCTTCAGTCTGGCTAGATGATTTTATTTTCCGTACCC